AGTAACACACTTGGGTGTGGAGAAACCTCATAAGCACTTAGAAACTTTCTTGCCGAGCCAGATTTCTGTTGCCATTACCACTAATTGCCCTAATCGTTACAGTGGTATGATAAGTATCCCACCGGACAAGAAGGTGTAAGAACTCGTGGACACATCCAAAATACCCACAAGCCCCCTCTGCTGCTTGTTTTTCCCCTCCCCTAACTTTGCTTTTTCCCCCCTTTTTTTTTTTTAGTATTTGCTGAGTAACAGCAGATAATCTGATTCATACGTGGGGCTGTTTTTTCCCTTCCTTCGTGAACTGGTTTGTTTATTTAAACAAGTGGCAGGGACGGAGGGTGCCAAGAAATGTTGTTTTTGGAAAAGGGCCGTGTGTGTGTATGTGTGTGTGTGTGAGGGGCCGTGTATGTGGTGTCTGGCTCGACGATGTAGCCCTGCCAAGCTCCCAGGGCAAAGCCGAGCCTCCTTGACCGCAACTGTTTATTTACAGGTTACACTACTGTTTATTTGAAGACTATCAGATTGGCCGGGCTTCTGCACAGGACACCTATTAGATACAGACACCGGGCCCCGGGCTCCTAATAAAATAATCCACAGCTCCACTACTATTTCTGTGCAGCCTTTACAAAAAGATTTCAACTCAAATTTGCTAAAAGTTTTTCGGTCCTGGCTTATTTGACTTATGTCATTTTTAATACCTGTTGAATTACTAATACGTGGATTAGAGGCTGAGCTCAGACTAAACAAAAGCAAACTCAACCTTTGAACATTCACAGCCACTCAAATATGCAAGAGCCTGGTCGAATAGCACAATAACCCCGGAAAAGGAAGGAGCGGAAAGCTGCCCTTTTGGGGTGAGAGGTAAAATGTAATGCAATAGGGGGGGTGTTTCCTGCTCCGGTGCAGGCCTGGCAGATGTGCCATATGCTCGCATCCCACCTCGAGTCATCCAGGTGGTCTCTCCTGGTGCTGCCGAGGGGGCCTCATGCTGGAAGACGCTGCCTGGGATCTCTAATTGCCACAGCCATCTGTTCTTTTTTGTTTTGGTTACCTGTTCGACTCCGATAGTAGACGTGGGAAAAAAGAAGGACAAGCTCTTATCTAAATGAACAGGAGCCGTCGTCTCTTTTCCGCGCCGCCTCCCCAGCATTCGCCTCCGAGCTGCTCTCCCGTGCTCTTTTCGCTCCCTCTGCCTTTTTCTCGCGCTCTCAGCGGTTCCCGGGACCCAGGCACGGAGTTGGCAGTCTCAACTAGACTGATGGATGACTCTGAATGTGGAATGTGGTGATGGTGGTGGGGGCAAAGTCAGTTCCTCGCTATCGTTTTGTGGACGTGTGCCGTGGCAAATCCAACCCAAAGCACCCTTTGCCGCCCAAAAATGATTTCCACCGTGTCTTTGTGTGTGTATGTGTGTGTGTGTGTGTGTGTGTCTGAAATTTGTGATGTGATGCCGATTTTAGTATTGAAAAAATCCTGTCGTAAATTTGATGATTGAGTACTCGTTTAAGGGATTTTGAATGGAACAAATCCAATAATTATCTGGTCATTGAGCCGTTGCTGTTCCTTGTTTTGTATAGTTGTAAAATATAGTTTGAGCAAAAAGTAAAAAGTGAAAATTACACTGGAGATAATTTTCACACACAACCACAACTGTGTCACGTGAGGGATTTATAAGGTTCTCAAGTTGCTGTTTTTGTGTTTTGAGCAGGGATCTGAGTTGAGGCACCAACTTGTGCACTGGTCAGTCGGTTTTAGGGCTCAGTCTAATTTTTTTTCTGCTTAACGTATGGGCCTTTTCCCTCCCTACTTTGTCATTGTTGAGCTTCAGCCAAGAACATTCTGTTTTTGCAGCGCTGTTTAATAGTCAAATTTAGGAGTGGGGGAACAAGACAGAGGGGGAGAGCGACATAGAGAGAGAACAAGAAAGGAATAAATCTTTCAACTTTTTTCTGCCTGCTCGTCCACCCCCCTCTCTTTCCCTCTCTCTGTAACACAGCTCATGAGAGCTGCAGCAGGAAAATGGGTGTTGTTTCAAGGCGAGGGTATCTGAGTTCACCGTCTCTCCAGCTTCTTGCCTCTCATGCTAAAGCTGTCACATGTTAAAGGTGTAGATGGTAATCTCCCTTCTGGTTCTCATTGCGTCCTCTCGGTTTCAGGGCCTGTGTGGGCTCGGACCAGTTTGAATCATTACGAGGGGTCCGCTCAGACGCCGCTATTAACCGTTTGGCATAGCTCTATGCGCAGCTCCATGTTGGAGTTCAAGGCCTCCGTGGGTTGAGTCACCATTACAGTGTTCACAGATCGAAATCTGATAGTGATTTATGCCCCTAATTTTGATGTTTCACAACTTTCGCGCCATGTAACATAAAAGGAAAAAGGCCCCTTTGCCTGTCAGTGATCAGACCAGGAACGGCAGAGGAATGATACATTGCCCTCCTGGTGAGGTTTCTAAGGTAAAAGGCATCAGCGAGGGCCGCTTCATACCAAACCCTGCACGCTGTAGCCGGTGGAAAGAATTCCACTCATGTTTCCCTGCGTTTCCCCCGCCCCTCGTACCCTCTCTCCATGTTTTGTTCTGTGCTTGTACCTTGCACAGCAGGACCGAACACATTCTGAATCCCCCCACCCCCTCTGCTACTCCCCGTCCACCTTTGAAAAATTACACAGAGATCTGCTGCTACAAACTTTTTAGGCTATTCTGTTTCAGATAGAACTTTTCCCCCAGTTTGCCCTCCCATTAATGATAGCGCCGTGCAAACAAAGCTGTCTTGTTTAATCTCCTGTGGGCGCGCTCTACTTGACTGGTACAGCAGATAAGGAAAAACCTTTAAACACTCAGGAAAGGTTACTTACACAGATCTGATTTCTTTCCTTTCAGTTTAGAATCAATGCTTTTAAGAAAACTCTGATTCACCAAGATGGTATGTTCCTATGCTAACCCCCCCTCGCCCCTCTCTATGTGTGTTCGCAGACTCGCAGCAGTCAGGAAGTCCAAGTAACAATGAGCCAGGCAAAAACCCTCTTCCAGGTATGTACAGTGGCAGTTATCCTCCCTCCTACCTCCTGTCATCACTCTATTGTTCCTCTCCCGCTCGCCCCACTGTACTGCGACTTATGTACACCATACCTAGTGAAAATAGGGTTGTGAACTCTGTGACTTGCAGGCAAAATAGCGATGCCTTCCGCTGCCAAAATTGCATTGTAGCTTAACAAGACGCACACACACGAGCCAGTGTCAAGTGGATCCAAGCATTTCCGCTTTTTACATTTTTTTAACGATGTGTCTTTTGTTATAAGTTTGTTTGCCCGTTCATTGGGTTGGATGGGTAATACCCTGAAAACACAGCAGATAAGCCGGACATACTTTTAAGTAATATTTTTGTTGGAAATTATTTAGAAATGGAAATTGGGAAGTCCTGAAATTCCTTCGCTCTTCATGGTTTGCTCTACCGAGGGAGATTGCAGTTTGATGATATTGTTAGCTTCAGTTGTGCTTCCAGCAGACTGTGCCTCTGGCTTGTAGCTGAGCCCAAACGGGCTTAGCTAGCAGAGCAGAGCTGCAGGGGATCCGCTCTAACGGTGTAACGGCTGGCGTTCTCCTGGACTGACCTAAGCCGTGTCGTCACAATGCTGGAATGAAAATAGTTTAAGTATAATTAGTCTTCAACGTCAAGAGCAGGTTCTGCTGATGCCACTGCCAAGGAAAACATACTGGGGAGCCAGTGACTCAGGCCTGGAAGGCTTTCACTGGTGGCGCGTTTGCTTGCAAAAGCTGTTGGCTCACAGGAGGCATTAAGCCTTGTAGGTGCCAATGGAGATACCTCGCTATCCTTCTGGCACTGACCGAGTGCCATCGGCAGTGAATCAAAGCTGAGCCACATTCATTCGAGTGTCAATAACTTGCCTGGATGTTTCACTTGACTGACAGCCTCCGATTAGTGTTCCTGAATTCTGGGCAGGTCATACAGACCTTGCGCTAATGCACCGGCGCAGCAGAAAATATATTATGACTGTCATCTGTTTAGTCTAAGAGTGTTTTTTCTAAAAACAGGAGATATAAATCTGGCGGGCATGAAACACGCTTTATTTTCTTCCTGTGAGTTTCACTGTATTTTTGTTTACATTATAAAAATACATATAGATATAGATTTATTATAGTTATAGATATAAATACATACAGATTTAAGAAATCCATGTTCTTAATTTAGTCTTTAATTTGTTTTAGGGGTGTTTTTTACACTCCAAAAAGGCATCAAAGCAAAACTGTGGAGCCAAAGAGTTTTTTTCGCCTTTACTTCAGCGTTAAATCAGCAGTTGAGCTCGGGCTGGTTTGTAACTCTCCCAGCAGCAGGAGTCTGCATGTCACTCCCTCCTCCTCTCCACACACACACACACACACACACACACACACCTGTCCTGTCACTCTGTACAAGGCCGCGCAGTAGGGTTCTGTGCTGCCGCGTGTTTCGGTTCAAATATGTCAAATGCAAAACAAATGCGACCGCTTCTTTTCAGCCTAAGATTCCACCACTAAATTTTCCCTTTGGGGGGGGGGGGGGGGGGGGGGGGGGGGGGGTGGTTGAAATCCCAGGTGAGAATGGATTATTTCTTACTGAGTCCCACCATTTTTTAAGAATAATTTCAAATTCCCCGTGCTAAGCTGTGCCTGCTTTGTGTCTGTGTGTATGTCTTGAATTTAGCTCATTTGAACAAAAGTGAAAAAAAGCTAAAGGAAAAAAAGGCAAATGAAATTAAGTAAACATGATCAGGAGAGCCTCATGTGTTAAAATAACACAGATGATCAGTAGACATTTCATTCTTTTTTTGCCAAATGTTTTAGATGATTTATTAAGGGATTGTCTGTTTTATAATAAGACACTGACATGATATAAAAGGAAAATTTTCACTTTTCACACTGCCTTTTTTGCTCTGCATCTAGTCATTCAGGATGTGTGTAACAACAACAATCCGAGCTGTAATAACATATATTCATCATCCCTCTGTGTGCAGTCTATTTGGAAGACAGTTTCATCAAATCAGGAGTCTTCAGTGTTGCAGAGCTGGTGCGAGTGTCCAGAAGTAAGTGCACACATTATTGTTTGGCTTTTCCACAGCCTGCATATCTCCAGCACGCAGGTGCCTCTTGTTTTTCTTTTGCTTATCATCGATAAGATGCACGATCGGACTGAAGCCGCCTGTCTAAACTGAGACTCGCGCCAAGACACTACCGAATCTGTGTGCTGAAGGTGTAACAGGTGCATCACAGTTAACACGTGAGTCAGAATGCGATCAGCCTGTCTAGACTCACACAGGCATTCAAAGCAGTCTGCTCAGAAGTCCTCAAAACACCTGGATATTCTTGCTTGGACAAAAACAGCAGAGCTTGATGTTGGGGGGGAAATAAATGGACTCCGCTCTCAACCGCCTCATAAAACCCTGCTTTTCTTCATAATCTCTGTGCTAACTGAAATCCAGCCACACAGCTGTGGTGTGGTAAATCCAGTTTGGCCAGTCTCCTTTGCAATAAGATAACACTCGAGTGTGCCGCTGTCTGTGTGAGCTTGCATTCATCTGCACGGACATGTTTTCCACCCTGCAAAGTCGTTGACGGTTGCTCTCCCAGGACTCCTCTGATGGCTGAAGGCACTTCAAGGCGCCGCTTACCTGCGGTAGCCCTGAGCCCAGGCAGCTACTGTAGCCAGCGAGCACAAAGACTCCAGTCAAAAGCAACATACCAACGGCGTGATAGTTGTGCGTTGTAGCACGCAGCAGCCAAGTCCAGAGCGGCGGGGGGAGTCAAAGAGACGTGTGATTTCTGTGAAGCGCTGGACCCAGGAATTCCCACCGAAACATACTATAATCAAACTGCTCAGTTTAAAAAAAAAAAATGTTGTATTTGAAATTACATATCAAAAAACAACCATTTTTATCTTGTCATATTTGCGTTTGAAAAATAATCTCCAGTCTGCACTTCATCCATAACATACAAGAGCATCTACCCACATCGGCTCGACTGTTTCCTTTGGTTCCCCGAAAGTACTCAAATCGCTGCCGAGCGGGTGAATGTCTGGATGACTATGTTTTTGTGTAGTGTTTAATTTGCCCCCTGACCAGATGGCCTCTGAGCTGCCATGTTTGCTCTCATGTGACAGAGGCTGGTTTCACTAAAGCCGACTGAAGTCGAGCTGGAATTTTAAAAAGGTCGCCGGACGCACAGGACTTGTCACTCACTCAGCCAGTCGCTCCCTGGGAAGATATCTAAGCAGCCGCTCGTCCATCATCGCGCTTCTCTCCCAACTCTCCTGCCTGTTGAGACATTCTTTGAAGTCCATCAAAGGGAGCTGCGGAGTTCAAGGCTGAATTGCAGTCCAGCATTTGGACGAGGACACTCATTAATGCAGCGGCAGCCCCAGCTGCAAGTGGGAGACTATGCCACTGTTTTTTTTTTTTTTAAAGCAAAGTAAGAGATCTCTTTTGTATGCGTTACTTTCATTCCTTTTGTTTTGACTGAAAAGTAAAAGCCAAAGTCATTTAATGAGATGATTGGCAGGGAGGCCAAGTGGCATAAAAAAAAACACTGCGCCGAGCCAAGAGGAGAGCCAGACCACCACACAGAGAGATGGTTGGGGGTATCCTAAACCATGAATAAAAAAAGAGAGGAACACAAAAGAAAACAATGCTGCTGCATTCAATGTCCTCGGGCCGGATGCATTCCTCCACAGACAGCTCGGTGTGGGTAGCAGCGGGTAGGGGCCTTTGCCAGAGCTAGTGGGCTGCCAGGGTGGAGGCTGGCGGAGGGATCGTGCCAGTGGTGAACCTCAGACCACAACAGACGGCGCCACACACTTCATCCACTCATCCACTCCAAACCAACCAACCACTCGAGTTGCAAGCAGCCACATGGGCCACACACTGAAGCAAGTGAAAGTGAGAGACGGGGGAGAGTGTGAGGATGGGTGGCTAACCCCTTTTGTTCTGTAAACACTCCCGTGAAACAATATCCCTCACCTTGACCACAGTGAGAAAATCATCGCCCTCCCTCCCCTATAAGTCATCCTTTGAAGAGACTGCTAAGTATTTTACTGGAATTTGAAGAGCTGCGAAAACTGCCGAGGATGTTGGTTAAATGTTTTTCAGAGACTGTATGAAATCTGATTGTACACAAATGCTTTGATCTGTCGCTAGAAGAAATATTAAGCTAAAGCATTCACAACACATCCATCTCCATTTTGATGTACATTTCGTAATGAGGATACTGTAATTCGGTAATTAATTTACTTGTAAATCTGTAAATCGTCTTAGAGGCTCATCTGTAATACTCAGAGTTTGAACCTGTGAGTAGTGAGCTCTTAATTTGATGCCCAGGCCCTCTTAAACATCAATAATAGTAGTGTGTCTTGAGATTCAAGGATTGAGGTAGACAGATCTTTCTGAGATTCTGAGAACACTGCAAACCTGTGACATTGATCTCCTTCCTGTCTCCTCCACAGTGCCCATCACCCATGGCGCAGCGGTACCCTTCTCCATGGCTGACATGCCCAGCCAGCCCTACTACCATGACCTGAACTCCAGCGCAGGACTGCATCGCTCCCTGTCCTCCCCACCTGGCAGGTCAGGCTTACTTCCAGCCTAAAAAGAGATTTTTAAAGATATTTTTATTCAAGTCTTCTGTTGCCAAGTTCAATGCTTTCCTGCAAGGAAATTGATCAAACATAATCATCTCTAATGTAGCTGCGAAAACAAGTGCGCCCCCATAATAGTGCGTTCCGTTTGAACGTGGAATTTGCTATTTCTAAGTTGTAATTTGAAAAAAATGTTGGATTCTACTTGGATTCACAGCAAAGTTCAGTAAGGCCAACTAGCAAAGTAAGACCAATCTCATCAGCCATGACCTGAAAATCCAACATGGCTGGCATAAGTGCTGATAGCTGCGCCAATTTCCAGAAATAAGTTTATTAGCAGCTGTCTTCTTCGTTATCAGCTTGTGGTGCTAATAACAGTTAGCCTGCTCAGTGAACAGAATAATAAGCTAATTCTACTGGCTCTTCAGCTTTCAACATGTTAAGCTTTGGTGTGACATCATTGCCAGCTCTTGTAACTTCTATGGTAAATGCAAGGCAGCATTAGCTTAGCTAAAAAAGACGTATTGCACGCCTTGGTTCAATAATAAAAAGTGTAAACAGTATCTTTAAAGGTCTATAAAGTGCAATAAATATCGTTTTTGTTTAGTTGTGTCACACCAGCTGTTTCCACTTTTTTGTCGTCTTAATGCCCCGCTAAGCTAACCCACCCGGTTGCTAGTTTCAGCTTTAGCATAGGTATTTGAGAGGTGTCTGTCCTCTCAGCAAACAAGAATGGTGTAAATATTTGAATAGCTTAAGTTCATCGGCCCTGCATGAATCCTGACGATCCTTTGAAACTTATAACCTTCCTTATGTGTGCAGCAAAAGGCCCAAAACTGCCAACATGGAGGAAAACATGGACACGAGCCCAACAGGACCCGACTTCTACTCGTCCCCGAGCTCACCAGCAAGCAGTCGGGCTAACTGGCACGACCGAGATGGAGGTGATTATTCTGAATTTACATGACAGCTTCTATTTATTCATGGGCAGTTTATCAGGTGTGGCTATATTCCGCCTGTAACGCCTCTCTCACATTCATGCACTTACACAAACACCCGGAGTGCAACTTTGCACAGCTCAGCGTTTCACAAGAGCATATTGACAGAATTTGCTGAAGGATAAGGGGATAAGGGGATCTTCCATCCTTGTCACATGTAAATAGACTGAAAGGGAACGTCATCTTTGCTTGGCTGCTGAACTCACCCTCCCAGTATACTTTACATCATCACTAGTGTTTATGTATGACAATGACAATGGAGTATGACAATGAAGAGAAAATACCAAGTGGTGGAGATTTTTTAGTAAATTTGATTGTACTTTTACACATGTGTAAATGTTATAGAAAACTTTGCTCTGTAAAATAATGAAGTACAGTTAGGGGAGTGGAGAGCCACGGGTATCAATAGCCACACTCATGTTTAAATCAAATTAAACTGATGCTTGTACCAGTTGTGATTGTTCTAGATTAATGTGTGCTTAACTTTAGAGTTAGCTGTAAGCCTTTAAATGTTATATGTAATTGTATTCTTGAAAATGTTCTTAATAATGAAAAAAACATTTTTTTCCATGCATACCTTATTTAGAATGTTTAGACCCTTTGGGGGGAAAAGTATCTGGCAACATTTCCCAAAATAAATTAGGCTGTACAGGTTAGCTGAGATTTATAGCTTAAATGTATTTTTATTTATCATTTTGTGAAGAAGTAATAATCAGCGCACACCTGATAAGTTAATGGAAATGCTTGAAGGGTGAGAAAGGCTAAGACATGTGCTTCATAGGAACATATCAGCCTTCTCGCATGTTTGATTCTGCACATCAGGGAGAGAGGTCCTCACAGGGAAGCCTAAACGTCTAATCACAATGTCTGTTAGAGCTGAAGAGAACCCATCGCCCCTTTAATTAAGGCCTCACTCTCCCATGATTCCCTATCATTCTATGCCCACAACGCATCTGAGTTTAACCACCAGGGGACACAGGAAACTTTTTTTGTCACTGTGATGGACATAATAATCGGAAATCAAACCCATCCATTCTTTCACAAGCCACACGTTTGTTTTCTCCCTAGTTTGAACTTAGGCCGATGCTTTTAAAAAAAAAAAGTGATTAATATAGTCAGTAGGGAGTCTGCAAGAGGAAAACACCAAATGGTACGCAAGAGACAGCAGTGGTGGGATTCAGCCACAACCCAATGTGGGCACATGAAATTTCAGCATATCCCTTTGCATAAGGCCTGAGAGTATTGCACTGCATAAACTCAGACACTTGGGGTGAGGAGAAAGGGAATTAAGTGGGTAGGAAACTCTCCAAAGACAGCTATTATTCTGTCAAGAGAGAATAAATGAGATGTGGGTTGATATTAAACCCAAATGAGACACACAAGTGCCAAGCAGTCATTTCCTTCACATGGCTGTTGTTCGATAAAAACCTTACCATGTAGGGGCAGAAGTTGCTTCTCAATCTTTATGTTTCACTCTGGAAAAGTGCTATAAACATTTTTGTGGATTGTATTACATGTGGGCACACGTTTGCCGATTTAATATAAAATATATCAGTCGCTTAAAGGACAGCTAATCAGGTCAACGTGTTGGGGCCATTCTTTTCTAAGCTGTCAGAGTTGAACGTTTCTTTGTTGAGAGCAGTTTGATTTTACATGGCAGTCTGAAGGAGAAGAGGAAAAGCTGGAAATGTCCTCTGCAGAACATTTTCCTATTTTTAATGGAAACACTCACCAGGGACATTAGTCTCCCCAAAGGTATTTTTTTGTTTCTGGCAAAATGAAAACACTTAATAGTGTATCCTCTTGCAACCTCAGACTGGGAAACCCCCCTAAATTCCCACCACCTTTGTTACTTGCTCCTCTGGAGATGATGGATTTTTCCCGTCACTTGGGTGGATCCTTCCCTGCTGTTGGTAAATGCAGGGGAAGGAAAGCTGATATTATAAGAATGCCTCAATATTAGGGTTCGTCCAGCCTGTTCTGGGGGATAAAGAGATGGATGATGTGAAAGTTATACTCTTCTATGTCTGTGACAGGGTGGAAAAGCACTTGATGAATGTTGAAAGAAGAAGCACTAGCTTTTTCCTCTTGCATCTATGTGGTATCATGAGACTTTGTGTCTCACCATGGAAAATTGAAAACTGTGCAGCCGTGACAGCCGAGCATCGCTCATGAAAGTGTCGAGCCACAGTAATGAGCAGCTTGTAAGTTGAGGTTGTGAGCATACTTTTAGTCTGTAGAGCTACATGAGTTTTGCTTAACAATTTTCATTTTTTTCATCCGAGCCTTCGGGATTATTCATGGGGAATTACAGTAGCTTGTCGGAGTGTGTAAGGCCGAGCAAAGCAGATGTAACAGTGTAATATTCTATTTAAGATTACGTGAGGGTCTCAAACTCTCAAATCTGGTTTTGATGACCAGCTGCTTTGCGACAGTGTCACTTCACTGGATTTAATTGTTAGTTTAGACGTGACAAAAGACTTGTTTTTCGCGTCATGGGGAAGTCCAGTGATTTATAATGATTCCAGAGATTATATCTGGTTTTCGGTCTGTGGAAAAATAAATTTGCCACGGGCATGTTTCATTGTGTTCTGCATTTATTGGTGAGAAAGGCCACTTTTAAAACAAAAATTCCCACACAGATCCTAATCCTGCTTCATTAGAATCATAACTTAGCTTTTATCCATGATTAACAGAGGCAGCGTCAGAGGTTTTGGGAAATGATTTGGTCCATCTTCAACAGTGAATCAAAGTCTCCTGAAACATTTAGGTTCCTGCTTTCACCAAAGCCACGGACATTTGTGACACTTTTAACATTTTCCCTTCTCAAATGCTTGCAGAAACTGTTTTTTAGTTTGTAGTTGAAGTAATGGGGAAGGCTTGTATTCATTTTCTGACCTTGAAGATACATTCTTGTGCGTGTTTGCTTTTCCTACCAGCAGACATGTCCTCTCCCACCATGAAGAAGCCAGAGAAGCCGCTGTTCAGCCCCACTTCTCCGCAGGACTCCTCACCACGACTCAGCACTTTCTCTCAGCCTCACCACCCAGGCCTAACAGGTGTGGGACACAGTGGTGAGTTACCGGTCACTCTTTATCCCTTGTTCAAAGTCGGCATATGACTTCATTTATGCTCATGTATCAGTGAGGATTATTTCACTTCAATGCACATGGCCATCCCTCTTTTTACTGTTCTTTTGGCAGTTATATCAACGAGGAGCCCCCCTCCACACTCACCCCTGCAGTTCTCTGCCTCGGCTATCTTGCCACCGGCACCGTCTACCTACTTCTCGCACACCACCATACGCTACCCGCCTCATCTCAACCCTGCTGATCCCCTCAAGAGCTACGTGCCGTCATATGACCCGTCCAGCCCACAGAGCAGCCAGGTCAGCCTTTTTCCTTTTTAAAAAATGTGGTTTTAGGTATATCCGTGTGATAGTGTGAGCTTGAAGGTCAACAGTGAGATGGTTTCATAACTCCAATGTTGCCCTTTCCTTATCATTTTTTGCTTCCACTGCTGACTTATCTCATGAAATTAAGGATAGGATAAATTCTTGCATGTATTTATTAATGACTTATTGGTGCATTTGGAATCATCGATTACAACATGGATATCCCTCTGGATGCATCTATACAAAAACTCTCATTTTAGTTATCTTATGCACTTCACATGACCCCAGTTTGCTCTTGTTAAAAAACCTGGCTACTGGCTCTGTATGTTTGGACATCATTTGTGGATATAATGGAGCAGAGACAATCTGATTTTGGTTTTATATACGTCTAAACAAGATAATCTGACTGTAATTTTGCTAAATTAGATTCATCGAGGTAGGAGCTGGTAGGGAGTTACTCCTGAAGCTAAATTCACCTAGATGCTATGTACAAGCTCAGTGGTTCCTGACCCATCATCTGACCCGAAATTAAGTTAAATGAATTAGTTGAAGGGTGGTGGTGTGGTGGTTAGCACCGTCGCCTCACAGCAGGGTTCTGGGTTCAAGTCCCTCTGGGAACCAGGACCTTTCTGTGTGGTTTCTCTCCGGCTTCCTCCCACCGTCCAAAAACCTTTAGGTTAGGTTAATTGTACATTAGTTAATTGGACATTCCAAATTGCCCTTAGGAATGAATGTGGGACCCTATTTTGGAATAAGTGGTTCAGAAAATGGATGGATGTACAGTGAATGAAAAACTGTGCTATTTAGTTCAAATAGTAATTATGGAAGTAACAAATGAAGCTTGAAAAGTCAAATCCAGACAGCTCATGAGACAGAGTTCATCCAGTGTCAGATGGAAGAGTTAAATATTTGGGAGCACATGGATGTAGAAAATAAAATAAAATTACAGAATGGTAATCTGTTTAAGGTAAATAAAACAATCGGTGCTAAAACATTTAAAGGGAGTACATTGTCACCTACTGTCCTGAGTTACATACACTGTGGTAAATTAATCCCTTCTCTTTGTCCATGCTTGTATGCTGGGGTGAATGCACAGGCTGCTGTCCTACTCTTTTGTCTCGCCCAGCTGCGTAGTATATGAATTATACGAAAGGATGAGTATATGAAAGGATGTAAATAAGCACAATTAGCTGTCAGCCTCACGTTTCTGTCTACTATTTATGAAAAAGAAATGTAAAGATGTTTTAGCTCAATGCAGTTCTCAGTGCAAAGACCATAAAACATATTTTTGATGTTACCTTAAAAAAAAAAAAAAACTACCGCAGGACTCCGTAAAAAAGTCACCCAAACTGTGACTGCAGTCACATGCATGACACACAAACCGTATCACGGCATAGTAGTAAATTAAATAGCTTCGAGCTTTAATACATTCAGGGAAAACACTGTGGCCAGTGTGTGAGCGCGCAGGCGTCTCTATAGATGAGAGAGCTGTGTGATATTTATGTGAGTTTTATTTCCCTGCTGTTCTCACTGTAAACAAAGGCCTCGTAGACGGCTCCATCTCCAGAGCATGGAGCGGGTTAGACGAGGGGAGGAGGGGTGAGACTGTTACTCTAGAGAGAAACCGCAGGGAATGATAAAGGTTGTAAATATTTGCCGTTGCCGGGGCCCGGCTCTTGTGCAGAATTAACTGGCCCTCTGCTGGGGTGCTGGAGAAAGAAGACGGGAGGAGGGGGGTGATGGGCTAGTGAGGTGGGGTCCAGTTGGGAAGAGAGAGCGCTTGAAGACCAGTTAGGGTAGGATGGAAGATTTGCGGGGTGGGGGTTTCTGCAAATAACACAGCGCTTATAATCCCATGGACAAGTGCCAGAATGTTTTTATGCTTGCTTTAACGCAGATTATATTACACTCTAATTAAACATTCTATTCACAACGAAGGGAACCCTGTGGACACGATTCTTCTCCAAACAGGCCTGTTTGAGTTTTGAACTCTTGGCGGCCTTGAAATGAACGGCCCAGACAGTCTCCAGCCGTCTCAAAGAGTAGCTCCCTCTTGCTCCCATTATTCCTTTCCCCCTATATATAGTCTCTCTGCCTCAGTCTCCATAGTGGTGCATTCACACCATTGTAACAGGTCACTCCACGGCTCTCTCTGGCTTTTCACGGCCGGGTCCTTCTAAATTCCATTTATGAGCACCATTAAAATCATTGTGTAGAATCATGTAGGAAATCCATTGTTGATGAGTGAGGAGCTATTGTTGCTCATGCCCCCCCTGAGTATTAGTAATAACTGTGACAAGACAGCGGCTGAAAGTCCTGAAATCTTTTCTTCAGGCGGGGCATTAAGAGTGAGTGGATCAGCTGCCTTTTGTTGTTCATTTGAATTTTGTCAGAGCAAACAGAGCAGTTACGTCCCGGGAAAAAGAGAGATGTGACACTGGGATTGGATGTTCAGCCTAAACCCATTACTGAAAGTATAGTTTGTTGCATGCTTGTCTTGGTTTGTTGAGATCTACCCACATGCACATTTACAAGTGAACATGAGCTTGTAAACAGAAGTCACTGGACGGATTCTGTCCTCTTGTGAGGTTATGGTTTTTGGTTGCTGACAACAAGAGTTAACTTTAATTTGTCCAAATGTCAGCTTTAAATATTTGCTGGATATTTTTAGCACCACATGACAGACACAAAAGAGAGCTGTTTGTCGTGAGCATCACCTTGTTTCAGACAAGCTTTTATTCAGACTGAATCACTTTCTGGTTGTGTCCGCCCCACGTGCAGCCTAACAGCAGTGGTCAGGGGGTTGGAAAGGTCCCAGGCCACTTCACCCCGGTCTTGGCTCCTTCTCCACACCACGGCGCTGTGCGGACCGTCTCACTCCCCATGCCTGACACCAAGCCGATCACTACATCGACAGAAGGTGAGTAAATCACAGCTGAAACCAGCACAAATCACATTCTACACACCAGACACCTACATAGAGCTCTGCTAAGCCTTAGCTTCAAATCGGAGGCCCTTCATGGACCAAGCTGAAAATCGGCTGTTGGGAACATCTGGAGTGTGGATGCATGTGTCTTGCATTCTCAGTGTAATGCACCGTTGGCAATGACACACTCCATCAACACTTTTGGCGTCGGTTCTGTCAGTGATTGGCTGCTCAGCGTAGCAACAGCAGCCAACACTTGTTATTTTAACTCCTCCAAAATAATAAACACCATGTGACGAGAAAAATTTGATGACCAGCTGATAACGATTTTTCCCAAGAGACTAGCTCTGCAACAAAAATCAGAAAGCACAAATCGAACAGGGGTTTTCTTTCTTTTTTGTTTTTTATCTGCACAGGCTCGCGGCTTTCTTTACTGTATGATGAATGCAGCTAGTTCTGCACATCAGTTTGGTGCACGATAGCTATCAGAACAAGTCCCGCTCTGTCGGTTAATAATGCAGAGGGTTGTCCTAAAAGAGTTTATTTTGGAAGTTTCCCCCGTGAAACATCTCCATGGCGACATAAAAGTGCTGTCAAAGCTTTTCTCAGTTATGTTGTGTGGTGTATCTGGACATAATTTTTTCCTAAATGTTTTCAATTCCTAACAAAAAAGCACACTAATTGAAAAAAGGAAGAAAAAGATAAGACCAGATGTCAAAATAGGCAGAAGAAAGAAAGTGGAAAAACAGTACTGAGACTTCACTCAAGTATGGGACGCACCCTTGAGAATCTGGTGTCTATCCCGCTGACCTCCCTCCACAAATAAGCTCTCTCACGTTAGCTGTTCATAACCCAGCACTTTGGAATGACATTTTTCTGTAGCTGCTTACTATCGGAGCCGCCAGAGCGCTCACTGCTGCAGAGTGATAACTGGCAATGTCCATCTATCGAGCTACTCCCTGTGCGTTTGAAATGGGTTCAAAAAAAGAAAAGGACACGTGGGGCTCTTTTCCAAGAAGCAGCTACCGACATGTTGGGAATGAGAATCACTCCTTTTAATCACTGCCTGGGTTTTAGTAGTAGATATTTTTAGCCACTGTTAGAATACATTAAATAATATGTAGCACAGAGTGGTGTGAGACTCCACTGCTAATTTTTTGCTGAAAGTTTGTTATTCATCGTGTCAGGTAATGATTTGACATTGTAATGTAGTTACCACCAGCTGCTAGGCATCAGTACCTGATTGTAAGCATGTCCTTCTTTTCTTTTTGTGATGGCATGTTATCCAGGCTACTCAACCCCTGGAACCCCGACCGCTAATCGATTTGTAAGCCTGAACCCTAGAGATCCAGCTTTCCTCCACCAGCAACAGGTGAGGTCTTTCTCCATTGCAACACTCAGTTCATATGCTCCTCATGTTATTCTTTTCATTTTCTGTGGCCCGCTCCTCACCACACACACATCAGATGTGTGTAATCCTTGCCCTCTGCGAAAAGCAGTCACACTTTAAGCCTGATTGGTAGGCAGCAACAGAGGGCCTTGAGGGCCTCAGAAGATCAGATCAGGAGTGATAGCCTCTTTTGGCAGAACAAATTAACATTATAGATGGACAGAGGTGAAACATGGCTAAAGTTAAAAGAGGGCACATCTTATATCTTTAAATTGTTCAGTCATTCTATGGTTAAGCCAATCTGAGGCCAAAATGACCAATGTTTCCGAGAATTCATAGCGAATAGGTTCAATACTCATGAACAAGTGTGTTTGAGGTTAATTTCAACAGTTCATAGAGGAAGAAAATGGCATCTTTTTTTACTGTTCCCTTTACAGAATGATGTAAAGGTCATGGGTCGTTGTCATTGTTCAAGATGTATGAAACACGTGAATGCTTTTCAGAGCGTAATGTGCTCAATTCCATTTCCTTCACACATTACTTTAGAAGCCCTCTCACACACATGCAATCAATACACTCCCTTATTTACAAGCTGAGAATCTGGAGCTGGCGTGGCCCTACTGTAGAACGTCCCCGGACAAAAGTGGGGTGGTATCCCTGTGGGTGTCTGTGTGTGGGTGCGTTTGTGTGTGCCTGTGAGGTTAGGGGTGCTGTCAGACCAGAGAGAGTGCTCTCCCCCACCCGTCTTATTGAAAGTGTTGGTCTGAGGCCAAGGCTTTTCCAACCACAACTAATTGAATGCATCTGCACGGAGCTACATAATGATCGCTGGGTTTCTCCACAGCTCACTTTTTTATGTTTGGTAAAAATGACAAAGCCGGCCTCTGTTTCCTCACTCCTCTTCCTGTCTGCCTTTTTCTCTCTCCTCCTTTTCTTTCTCCCAAATTTCCTAAAAATCTTTTTCTTTTTAAAAAAAAGAAAGAAATATGAAAAAAGAAAAAGAGGAGGGGTGTTTGTTGGCTCCGGGATGCTTTATTCCACTCTGGAGGAGATGGAGGAGGAAAGGGAGGATTCACTTGGCTGATGTTGCTCAGTTTGTCTTCGACATTTTCTAGTAGCTGTGCTACTTCTTTCACCAGGGCACAAAGTTACTGCGCAGGCTGCAGCCGCCTGAGTCTAGCTGCTGAATTCAGTGCTTTGTTTACAGAGGCACTGAAGCCAAGCCGTTCAGCACCAGATTTTTAGGTGGGAATCAGCCATGACATGTCAATATCCTCCAAAGATATACAATATGAGTATATGATATAACATGAGTAGTATACAATATATTATGAGTTGTATATAATATGAGTTATATTGAGTGGAAGTTAAAATCAGTCTAGGCAAAAAAAAGAAGAAAAAAAAGATACAAATTTCACCAGTTGAGAGAGTGTTGGACCCTGTTTTGGGAGATTTTAATTCTAAAAAAAGATGGTGCTGCCCTCTAAATTTGAAATAAGTATAAAAAATTCATTAGCCCAAATTAAATTTTAGCAGAGGTTTAATACAGGCTGTGTTCATTCATGACTGTGTGTAAATTGATGAGATTATTATGGAGCAGTAGTTTTTCCAGCTGATGCAAACAGTGCTGAATTGTGTTTGTCAGTGAATGGATAATATTCCTATTGTATCATCTTTCATCACATAAAGATAATCTTAATGTGAAGTATGGCTGATTTATTTATTTTAATCAGGGGAAGGCTAATTTAAGAAGCGGTGCTGTTAAGTTACAAGTCTCTGCAAACACACACAAACACGCACAGTAGGCTTTCAGACAACAAAAAAACAAAACAAAAAACACAACAACACCACCACACGTTCCCACACCTGCTCTACGAATCCCAGGCAGTGAATGTGTGAAAACCCTCCATTCATCTCTCGCCTTGGTTAACCCCCTCCAGGGAATTTCACCATCTAGCATTCCGCAGGGAAAGATCCCTGATCAGATGTCATTTGGTATTATCTAAGGAAGGATCCTAATCCACAATCTGCCCGCATCTGTTTGCTAACGTTCCTCGGCTCCGTTCCCTTTTTCCCCGCTGCCCGCACCGCTCTGATGTGCCGGTGCCAGCGGACAGATGGCGAGCCCCTCGAGGAGCGGTGGCACCGAGCGTCTGGCCCAAGCCGTGCATTCTCTCCCAGCTATTGTCAGGCTGCAGAGTGCGGGAACAGCGTGGGGGTTTAGTCTCCCAACGTTCCATAAATACAGAGAAAACACACTGAATGGAGCAACTTTGTTTTGCTTTGTTTTCTATTCAGTTTTACTAAGCAGCTGTTCACAGCAATTGATCAAACGACACTGATAAATTAGACCGAGCTCTAATGAGCGTCTTTGTCTTTGCTGGTCGGTTCACAGCTTCACATATGTTAGATTTACACAAAAAAAACCCCGACAGAACATATTAAAAACACGTCTGGTAGTTTAAGTACAGCTTCACCACCAAAGCATCATTACTCCCCGATGGGCCCTTCCAGGTGCACCGAGAGAATAGAACACATTCCTTGACCGCTGCAAATGGCTTTGAATATTCAGCGTATATCTGATTAAATCTCTCTTAAGAGCTTCTGCAAAACGTCCGCTGCTGCACGCGGAGTGCTAACGGTGCAGTTTTATCTCGATGCATTACTAAATGAATGTGTTGACCACAGGGCAAGGTTAGGTTGGTATTGGCAGAGATAGCTCTCAGTTGGATTGCAGACACGTGCACTCGCATAATGCATGCAAAGGAGACACGGTTTGTGTGTGGCTCTTTTCTTTGGAGCAGTAATTTGTAATCTCTATGTCAGGTTGGCATGTTGTAAAATGCGGGAAAAGGGGGTTAGTGCGTGTCTTTGGCTCTATTCATGTGTGTGGGTGTGTGTGTGTGTAAGTGTGTGTGTGTGTGTGTGTATCCGCTTTAACTTCATTGCATTGTGACCCCAAATCAATAAAAACTGTTAGCTAATGAAAAAAAAGTCTGCATGCTTTCAGGCATGCGCACTCTGTCCTGAATCTGAGGGAGCTCTTATAGCAGAGTAATGATTATCGACAGGGCGCATGCATCCAGGGGGCCGCATGGCTTCACCGCCTCACTGTGAGACAGCAGTGACTGCGCACAGACAAACTATTTATTTGATGCCACTCACATTTTATTACCAGCTAACTGCATTTTTTTTTACATAATTTTTATTATTGGCCGTATTATTTTTTCTTTCAGGTTAGTTTTCACCTCTAAACGTGACTGCATGCTTTTTTCTTCATGTCTCTTCTGGTTTTACTGCAAAAAGTAATGAAAACACTGACTCCTTTTACCATTTTCTTTTTGTCTATGCCTCATTTTGGAGTCTTCTTTTCCTTTAGTTTTTTCTCTGATGCTCCTGCCTTAGGCTTTTCTGCATGCATGTGTGTATACAGTGATGAGTTGTAGTGTACTCTGAAGTGGAAGTTGTCTTGGCCCAGTGATCTGACCGCTAGGTTTCAATTGACAGCTGAGGAAGTGTGACTGGAGCGTGACTCAAAACGGCAGGCATTATGGCCCCAGTGCCACTGACGACACTTTGGGGATTGCTTGGCAAAGGTAACCTTTTCGTTCTTTCATGCCGTGTCTCTGTATTTCACACAACATGTACACACACCTACAATTTTCAAATGATTGAAGTATCGTAATGTTTTATTTGCCTGACAGTTTTTCTTTTTGCATTTTCAAATGTACATTTATTTATAGATATCATCCAAACATTACTTTTGCAATTTCTTCCCTGTCGCTGTTATTGGTCTTTGGCTTTGAGATGAAATTCACAATTTCCAAAGAAATGTATTAACACATTTAAAAAACACATTTTCTTTACCATCCTTTCCATCCCCTTATTAACTGTTAATACTTTATTTTCCACTTCTCTTGATAATTCCCAATATCTAGTTACATTTTTTCTTTACTCTTTAGTGATAGATAGCATAATAATAGACACCTATTTCCTTTCAAATGATTTTCTGTTATTGGCCACAACAACATCCCAGTAAAATTGACATTTTATATCTTTTATTGCTCCATTAGTCTTCACAGCAAGGTTACTCATATTGCAAAGCAATTCAGCTCATAAAATATGTCTTTCTTCCGTTGTTCACTTTCAATTAGAATTAAATATTTGTATTTCACCACACAAAGTCAAACCAAAGAATCAAAGAAGTCAATTCAGGTCAGATTTGTCAGCCATGTGAAGATCATTTACCCTCCACGTTTAAACAAGCTTAGCTTTGTTTGACTTTATGCTCAAGTCATGCTTTACTTGCTTTTACTTAAAGTTTAGAAGACCGCCCCCTTCCTCTTTTTTTCGTTTCCTTACTGTATCTCATCCTCTGGGGGGAAAAAACCTGAACCTTTTCAGCACGGCAGAGCGAGCAAGCTGAGCTCAGCCTTTTCCTGTTCCCCTTTTCCCCCCTTTTCCCAGGATATGTGGATGTTCTGTGTGTGTGTGTGTGTGTGTGTGTGTGTGTGTGTGTGTGTGTGTGTGTGTGTGTGTGTGAGTGTGTATGTGTGGGTGTGGGTGTGTGTGTTTGTGGTAGCGCTCAAGTGTGTATGCACAGGTCATTTTGCGTCGGCCGAAGTTACAAACACAAACGCACACTGCAGAAACCCCTTCAACAGGCCTCCTAATAGGCAAGTATGGGGAGAGAGAAATGCCCCCTGCAGCAGCGTGAGGTCCATTTTTCCACTCACACCCGGCTCAGCCTTCCTTTCCTTTCCATGTGATTGTACAGTAATGGGGACAGATAAAACAGATCCCAACTGAATTTCGCTTTTCTTATTCCAATAAGAGGACGGTAATTCTATTATATTTCTTCTTCTTTGATGGATTATTTACGCCAAGCTGTTCAATGTATAGATGGAATCTGTTGGATTTCTCTTTTATCTTGCCTGCCCTTTAAACTGAGCGCTCCGCTATGCCTCTTCAGTACTACCCTCCAAATTAAAAAGCTGCCAGACTCGCATGTTGCCATTGTGCAGGAAATGGGTCAGCAATCCATTAAGATGCCATTAGATAATCTAATTTAGTGAGCTAATCCTTAAACGGAGCACGCTGTATGCCCAGGCTGTGCTTGCAGGGAGCAGAATTAGTGAGGTTTGGGAGCTGGACAGAGCCGGGGGGGGCTCCTTGAAGGTTACCTAAGGAGATATAGTGATGGAGATCAGGAACCAGAGCTGCTGGGGTGACATGTAAACCAAGCAACGTCTTTCATGGTGGCAAAATTCAACCAATACAATAAAATACAACCAATTTAAAGCTGTAATAGAACATGTGGTTGTCTCAGCAGGTCACGACTGGAGCAAAAGGAGCTGATTGACAGATTTAGGCAACCACAATTTATATTGTTTAACGTAGATACCCTCTACACGACTTAATCTTAAAACATGGGACCGTGTTTCAGAGGCTCACTAGCAAAATAGTACAGGATGTCACTCCGGTCAGCAGCAAAAAAAAACACTACAGCCTTATTATTTACGTTTGGGATGATTTATTTATTTATTTTAATCTTGATATTCTTATTCAAATAGATGCAAGAAGCAAAATTCCACAACAGTGATGGCTTGTTCCTAATTTTGGGGGTAATTTGTGTTGAAAATTGAATCACACTTACAAGGTGAATCTGTAGGCCTCGGCTCTGAGTTGATTCCTCCCCTCCACCCTGACCGACACTCTCATATACTGATAGGAAGAAGTAATCTCTCTGTAGAAGTCCTGCTGTATGCTGCTTCAGTTTATGGGATGTAGATACAGACTGGCAGCCATCGATTTTAACAAGATTAAAACCGATCTACACACAAAAGCCTGCAAGTGCCCTTTTGTAGCTGTGTGGTCCTCCTAATGCAAACCATTACCTGAGAGGAGTTTCATAATGAAAAAGGAGCAGAGAAGGAGGAAGGAAGAAAGAAAGAACAGGAAAAAGAGAAAGCTGCAGCCCTTGGCCTCTCTGCAAGCTCTTTGTTCAGCAAGGTAGGAAAAACTTAATCCCCCGTTTCCTGTCCAATGATTTTTGGCAGGGTGAAAGAGGGAAGGAGGGAGGGACGAAAGCAGGAGAGGGAGGATTGCATGAGGATGACTCGGACAGGGAAAAAAATGTTAGCGAGATTAGCCTTGAAGGCGTTTTTTTAACGCTTAGCGCACTGCGAGCCCCGAAAACCGGAGCAATGTTTGCCCTCCTTTTCAAAGCGTCTTCTCAGCTCTGTTTTTCTTGTTTTCACTCCTCATTCAAGATCAAGACCTTTTTTCAGGCTTAGAGGAGAACAGAATTAGCACTTTCATTGTCTTAAGTATAAGAGCAGTGAGGAGTGATTTGTATAAAATGCAGACTGGCTGATGAGCTGCTTTCACCAGAGCAGACGGTGTCGCTTCACAAAGGGTCCAGTCTGTTTCACCTCCTCTGTTTAGTTACTCTTGAAAACTGCTCTCCTTCCTCTCATCCGGGCTCTCCTTTCTCCTTCAACCCTCCCCCCCCCCCCCCCCACATTCATCACTATTTGTTGTGCTTTTTCATTTGTCAAGTCTAAGCTGCTGCAACACAAAGTTTTCATGCAGAGCTGGTTATCAGGGAGTCAGACCGAGAATCGCCAGCGCAGGTATTCTCAGCGTGGGTGACATGAGAGGTGGGAGGGTGTCAGATGAGTACACACTGGGGAACTGTGAGGAAGAAAAGGAGAGTAGGGGGGGGGCTAATTATCTGACATCTACGTCGCGCAGGACCCCTCGGGAACAACATGCTGCTTGTTCCCTATCGCGTTTTCAGTTAGCACCGTTGCTCTCAATGAACAATCACCGTGTTGTTTTGCCATTAGCGTGAGATGAATAGGGATGGGACAGCTTTGTGCAGGAGCCCCCTCACTTTTTCCCCCCCTCTCCTCCTTCACCACCACCACTACCAATCACACTCCTCAGGCTTCTCTGTGCTGCCCGCTCTGCTGAGAAGTGGGCCTGCGTCACTGCCCGCTCACACGATGTGGAATCACCTCAGCTTAGATCCACCAGCTAGCGCTGCCATTTCCACACATTTTACCCGCCTCCGCTTACACCACACACACATGAGGAGGCCGGGAGGCCGTAAGCAGAGATACTTTGTTTGCTGGATGTTGCACGAAGAAGCCAGCAGCACCCGATTGACCGCTCCGCCCCTCTCTGTCCCGTTTTGTCTCCACAGTCCTGGTACCTGGGCGAGCTTAGTTCCATTCCAAGTGTCGAACGGGACTCCGATTCTGCCAACAAATGTCCACCAGAACTACAGCATAAACATCATTGGTGAGCCGCTGGTCCCCACTGAGACGGGGAACTGAGCACGCAGAGGCCGGACGACCCCCAGGGCGTTTGGTGCTGCAGAGAGCTAGCACTACAGGTATCAGCAGCCATGGATGAAACCAGCAAAGCAGCAGGTGCTGCGCAACCCCCCCCCCCCCACCCCACACACACACACATACACGCACCCCCCATCAACCCCCATCCTACCCCTCCAGCACCCAACCCCCTCTCCCTCTCCCACTCCCACATCTCCCAATGGTGGACACTGGCCCCGAAGTGAAGATGAGGGATGGCTCAGAAGAAAGAAAGAAAGAAAAAAAGAAAGAAAGAAGATGAAGCTTCAGGTCTGCTGTCTCCTCGCACTCACCCACCAGCCACCAGTCAGTTGTTGTGTTTGCAGAACTTTTCAATCCATTCAAATACTGTGATGTATAGATGCCTTAATGTTTTATTGCATGACACTCTAGACTCTTAGCAGCAATTCTTACTATTTTTCCATGTTGGAGGAAAATGTAAAATCTACGTTTAAACAAACACACATACACACACACAAACACACACACACACACACGCAGGTGAGAGGGTCTGCATATTGACACCTGCCTGGTGGATGGCTCAGAGGCTCTAAGCTCTGCGGCCTCTTGAAAAGAGGCTTTCCCTCATCGAACGATTCACTGTGTACACCATAGGAACAAAAACTTGTGAATTCAGAGTGTTTCTTCTTCTTTGTTTGATTTCAGTTTACTGTGATACGACTCTGTTAAAAAGATGTGTTGACTTTGTTTATTCTTTACTGCAACTTACTTCAAGAATTAATGTAAACACTTATGGCTAGAGTTGAGAACTCTTGGTGCAGTTTTAAAAAAACACTAAATGCTAGGCTTGAGATTGGACCCCTCCTAAAAGAATCCGCAACTCCTTTTCAAAAGGAATTAAAAAAAGAAGACGAAGAGTAAGAAAAAAACGCGACAGAGGCAAGTGCAATTGAATTTTTTGAAGGGAAGCTATCAGTCTGTCAGCCCTAAGACTCTAAAGGAAGGGGGATAATTATTAAATGTTGTATCGGTAAAATGTTTAAGAAAACATTGAATTTGATTTCAGTAACATATCCGTCTCTTCGCATGAGAAAAACATCAAGCGTGAAAGGCAGTTGAAGGCAAAGCTACCTGTGCAGCGCTGAGCAAAACCAGCACTTACTTTGAGCCCTTTCCATCACTGTGGGAAGATTATTTTTTATTCAATGATTTTGGGAAAAGAGGAAAGAGAGGAAAAAAAACAAATGAAAGAAAAGTAAAAAAATGAGACACACATAGTGTGTTTGTAAATCATCCTGATGAGGTCAAGAGCGAATGCATTCGGCCATCAGCTTGTAAAGCTTATGTTTACAAAAAGGAAAAAAAAAAAGACCGAAAGAAAGAAAACAAAAAAAATAATTAAGTATTAATTCATGGAACTTTATCGTTAATGCAGATGTACTGTAGGATTATGGGTAAATCTATAGCTTGTGCAAGGTTAACTCGAAAGTGAAAGTGGTCAAAAACTGAAATTCTGAACCCAGTTGGTGGCAAATCCCTTAAAGCTAGAATTGTGCGTGGCGCGTTTGCAGCCACTGCCTCTCAAGTCCAGACACATTTACACAAGGAAAATTCTCTCCAGTACTCTTAATTTGCACGATGACATATAGTCCACATTACGTGCCTTGCCTTTGAATATAGAGACATCACTACACTTGTTTTTGCTGCATTTATCATTATAGAAAAAAATTAACATTTTTATGATAAGAATTGTTTTGTACTCTGAATGAAATTGTTGATTTTTAGATTCATGTACTACTCTATCTCACAGTTACGTTGCATATCAAGGCTGTGTATAGTTGCCGTTTTAAAGTTTGTAATCAACCAGCATTTTTTTTCAGTATTTTGGGTGTTTTTTTTTTCTAATAACCTGTCATCTTTTTTTTCTGTGCTCATCTTGTTCATCTTCCAGTTACTATTGTGGAGGGTGGAATACAGAATTATGAAAATTATGCAATACCAACTTTTGCCTATGTAGGTAGTGCTTATAGGTGCGTCAATTATTAGAGGCTAGTTTGGAGATAGACAATATTGTAATGCATATATTTTGTTGATATTGTTGTTCGTCGTTGTTGTTGTTGATGATGTTGTTGTTGTTGTGGGTGTTTTTTTCTTTCTTTTTTTCTTTTTTTTTATTGACCAAAGTGGGGACTGCTTTCTATGCAGTGTAAAACAAGGTCTTTTTTTCTCTGTTCACTAGCATATAGATTGGCCTGCCGTATACCAGTGACACATATTCCAGTGTATCATGAATTTGGGAGAATTAAGGTGGGGAGGGACAGGCGTGGAACTTTTTCAAGAAGTACGTTTAAAACAGTGCACCCTTGGTCTTTTGAACGGCTGCAAAGTCACTGATTGGTCTACTGTGATTCTTACTTTCAACTTTCCACCTGGGGTGCAAGCATGTGACCTTTTGAAGGGGCTCATTTCTCACAGGAGAGACGGCTTGACTTGAGTACGACAATCATTTTAGGAGATCATTTTTGCGCAGAATCCCGTTCAGTCTCGGATCCCTTAGGGCTGCAACTGAGGACGGACACAGTTGCATGCTTTTAGAAGCACCGTTCTATTCTAGACGTCGCAGAATGCAATTCCCAAGTAGATGCCTTAAACACATCAGTCAAGTGGCCTGTGACCTGCGCAACAATCACATACCGACTAATGCTAGTGAGACCTGTCCAAATCAGCTCCAGACAGACTCAAGCAAGCCTTTAGAAAGTATTTTATAAGTAGTAGATTTGTATAAATGTATATACGTTATGCACATATGTCAGGTCCCGAGATACTTCCCCAGCAGAGCCAGTAAAGTATGTTAAAGTAAATATTGGATGGCGTTTTCTAACTATGTCCAATGGCCCATTAGAAGCTTAAATAGAATCCACTAGAATAAAAAGCATAGCACTTAAATAGCACATAGGCAATCATCTTCTCCCCCGTGCAGTGTTCAGAACTGAGTCTCAAACCAATTCTCTCAGGCACATTACAGGGCATTATTTGTATCAATCATGGTCTCACCATTTGTAAAGTAGAACCTAGAAATTTTTCTCACTGGAGGCAGCGACCACCGAAGCTGCTGTGACACCTTTTGCACTCTTTCCCTACAATCGTGAAAGAAATGTTTCCCTTCCGGAGAGGCGGCACTACCGTCAGCCCTCCAGCACGAGCCGAGGGAGCAGAAATCATTGTTATAAATTGATCCTCAAGTCAAGCTCAATCTCTCCGTCTTCACCCTGATTTCTTGTGCAGGAAAAAAAATTGTAAAGTCACCCCGTTCTATGTGCACTGTTCCGTCGTTTTTTGGATTTTCTTTCTTTGATTTCTTGATTTTTGTTTTCTTTTTCAAAAGTAAGTGCTTTGCAGCCTTTGGCCATTGGAGACCCCACTGAAGTGCATTGTCCCCAAGTGTGTTCGTGTGTGGATGTGTGTGTGAGATCAAATGTGTCAGGGTCACTGTGCTGTCGGTGTTTATTGAATCGGAGACTGTACATAAGGGTAAATATCCTGATGGCTTCGCTAGCAGTAGTCTGCTTTGGCAGCTTGAGTGTGCATGCGAACAAATCTGTGTACGTGGGTAAATCTGTGAGCTGAATGCGTGATGGAGTGCCTCTGACACTACACAGTGAGAAAAGATGAGGGTCTTTCTATTGGAGTAAAAAAAAAGAAGAAAATAAGCCTGCCGCAGGACAGGAGTTTTTACACTGTAAACTCTGTGGGGAGTTCTTTTTTTTTTCTTTTGTTTTTTTTTGTGTTGAGCCCATATTTGTAAATCTTCATTTCTGGGGAAAAAGTGTCAATTCCATTTTAGGAAAAAAAGAAAAAGAAAAAAATATTTTAAAAAGAATTAGCATTTTCATTTTTTTGTTCTGTTCTATAGGCTGGATTTGAGTTAGAACTCTCCAGATTTCCCTGATTAGTAGGATCTAAAGTGTTTTCATCAGGTGTTGTTTTCCTCTATGTAAAGATTGGGAAATATGGTGGGGTGGGAGGGTGTGGGGATCCACAATACAGAAAATAAGAACAATGAAGGCTTTTTTTATTATAATTATTAATGTTATTATATCTGAACCTGGCTAGTGCTTAGATATTTTCATTATTGGAAGCATTTCGTATTTGAATTTCATTAGTGTGGCCATAGTGGGTGTGATGTGATTTATCTGCGTTTTTTGGTTGTTTGTTTGTTTTTCTTTGGGTTTTGTTTATTTGGGGAAAAGGGTGAGTTCTTGTCCAACAAGATTAAAGATGTGTGTGTTTTTTGTAGCAGCTGGGAAGTGATGTCACTTAAACCAGTGAAAAAAAAGACCCCCAATTGCACCTGACCTTAAATGAGAAGCAGGGTAAAATCTCCAGTGACAAACGTCCGTGATGAATCTGTAAGATTGTTTTTCTTTTCATTTTTTCTTTTTTTTGTGTTTTACATTTTGGAATTGTTGCAAGTAGAGTGGTGCTCCGCCTCACCGTGTATCTGATTTTGCTGGCCATCGATGAGCCGTCTACATACTTCATAATCAGCGCTTCTTCAGAATCTTCTAAAAAAATCTGTAAAATCATCCAGGTGTCACTCATTTTGCACTTTTCACTTGCTTTTAAAGTCTGATGTACTACAGGAAAAGAAATTCCATTCATTCACACTACAGACAAGCATTACATTAACTTCAGGTGCTTCACAATAGGGTACTGTACTTTCCAGCTGGGTTAGTGTTTTGGGGTTTGAATGTAGCCTGTCAAGGAGCTCTTTATGAAATCGTATCAGTGTTCAACCCATCAGCAGCTTCGAGGCTGATCTGGACTTTATTTTAAAAGAGTATTACTACACTGATCGGCATGATCAAAGAGGAACAGGACAACTATATGCAAGGAGGATATGTGGAACATCATGCAATACATGACTTCTTTTTTTCCTTTTATTTAGCTAAATGTCAGGCATTCTGTGGCGACTGCGAGGGTGCATACATGCAGATGTGAGG